GTAGAATAGCAAGAATGTTTTCTGAGTCAAAAAAAGCAACAAAATTTGGAGGCATGCGGTTCTGTACACAACTACAAAATTGGTTTTCAAATTAAAGAAAATTGGAGATCCCAAACTGTCAATGCTTTTCTGTGGAAAGCCACAATAAGCTATCATAAAGTCACAATTTTAATAACGGCAGAATCAATTGATGCAGAAGATAACATGAAGAGTCGGCCATCACTGTTCTTGCTAATCCCACTAATTGTTCGTGTATGTATTCATGTGGTTGCCTCCCTCTTCATTTATTAATCACGAGGTGGTTGGGATGAGGAGCTGAGAGGGGGTGCGCGCGCATTCACCTCACGTGCGTGTGACATCACGTGACCAAAAAAAAAAAAAGAGAGACATAATTGTTCGTGTATGTATTCATGTGGTTGCCTCCCTCTTCATTTATTAATCACGAGGTGGTTGGGATGAGGAGCTGAGAGGGGGTGCGCGCGCATTTACCTCACGTGCATGTGACATCACGTGACCAAAAAAAAAGGAAAAAAAAAGAGAGACGCCCACGCACTCCCCACCCGCTGCCTGCTTTTACTCTTACCGACGTCCTCATCTTCGTCAACATGCGATAAAACAGCAGGCAAGTGATCACAAAACACTTTCTAACACGGCAAGGCTGTCAACAAAATGGACAAGCGCCAGGTCAAGGTATGTGGATGCATGTTATTGTTTCAATTACCATTTGCAATTTGTTCAGTGTTTTAATTCATTATTAAAGTGATAAGTACCTTTTTTTAAGGCCTTAAACATTTTTTAAAATTTGTTTAAATTGCAGCAGCGTTTATTAATTTATGATTACAAATGTGGCATTTTAACAAGGTGCCATAGGCACTAATAAGAATGTGCCAGAAAAAAACTCTTTAAAGTTAGCTTTAACTCAGGAGTTGGTTGTTTTACCTAATTATGAGATAAGTAGGGGAAAAAATGAAAAGATGAACATGAAGAAATGAAACGTAATAATGTTGCTGCTACCTAAGAAGTGTACTATTGCATTTTTTTTTGTCAATTTATCCCAAATTACTTGAGAATGTTTCATTCCCATTGTAAGTTTCATGCATAATTAAAAGCCAATACTGTATAGCACCTAGCCAATATTTTTATGCAAAACATGTCTGCTCCTAATTGAAATAATCCAGAATCTAAATGGCTGCGTGGACATTTTGACACTTCATTATACCGATCATTATTGAATTAGAAAACCAAAGGCTGAATGACCGGCTTTTAATTGATAAGCAAGCCTTGACTGTCCTACATACTTAATGCAGTGATTTCCCCCGAGGCCGTGCAACCTTGCCATCAACTGTTCACTTTCTCACTATTGTCTGCCCGGCTGTCAGCTTGCTGATGAACTGATTCACCCCAGCAAAGATACAATGACATCATCATGCATTTTTTAAGACATAAACATATTGCGTCGTCTGCCACATTTGTATTTATGAGGACACAGTCACAACCGCTTCATTATAGGGACACACTCTTAATGGGGTCGAATACAAAACATATCGCAAGATAATTTGGCACTGTTCAGAGTTTTCCATTGAACAATAGGTTCATGACTATGGCTATAGTTTGCAGTGGGGTACCACTGCACTGCATTCACGAGAGCTATTCCTAATTTTTTGACACTTTCACAATCAATAATATAAAGCACACCTTTGTCCAAACAAATTGCAACTGCACTATCAACTTTGACTAATTGGAAAGCGCGCCAACATTTCAATTATGCCCAAACCAAAGTGTGATGAAAATATTCTTGATGCAGGTAAATGCCTCTCAAAATGAACCCTACCCAAAAGATTAACCAGTTTTGTCATTTAAAAAAAGTCACTTTTGGATGATGTAGACTTGTCAAAGGGACGGCTAACACATCCAATGCATTTAGTGTCACTTGAGTGAATATGAGAAGTAGCTTGTGATGACATATTTCTTGCACCTCTGCTGAAGAAATTGCAAAGTGAGGTAGGCTTGCAAAGTGAGGTCCTTCTCAGGCACCGTAGTTGGGGTGCATCAAAATGCACACGCTTCGAACTTAGGTCGTTACATTCAATTAGTTTACCTCTAGATGACGCCCAAATTCTCCACACTGTACCTTTACATTTTCCCCTTAATAATTTTCAATTCATTTGTACAACTTTTCGGTCACATTAATGGTGGAAAAGGGGCATTTGCACCGTAGTGGGAGGGAACACAGCTGGCTTTTTGCCGTCCAGTAATTCCCTTTAAATTCATTACACGAGGTCTGCATGATCTAGGGATTCACTAGAGTCCGTTTATGAGATTGGTGCACACAAAGTACATTTAGAAGGAACTCCAAGAAGTTGGCTGCTGTGGAGTGGATACTTGGGAGATTTTGTATTGAAAAACGATGACATTCACCACACATATGGGCGGGGCTCAGGCTCTGTCTGCCTGTGCCTGGACCAAATCCACCAAAGTCACATTACTCGGCCAGCTCCAAAACTTAGACCTGATTTTCGCTGGACTAAATTCTAGTCTACTTTCTGTCACCAAATCGTCTGGTGCGCTGAGGAGCCTGGGGGCGTGGAACAGAAAACGCCCTTGGCTCACCACAACCCGAGGCGCAACCCAGTCTGACAAATTCCCAAACACACAAAATGACACTTGCCCAGGACAAAATGAAAACGGTCCAGTTTTTATGTTGAGCGCATGTGCGCCTGTCTATAAAAATAGGACCCATGGAAAATTACAATGTCTCATTAACACTTGGGCCTACAGTGCCGCTATATTTTAATGCGGGCCATTATGGCGTTACATGGAAAGTTCAGTCTTTTTTGAGGTGGTAAAAAGCCTGCTGTAATGCATTATTGTACGAGAAAAATAACCCTCTATATTGTGTTTTTAGACTTTCTGCACACCATTCCACTGAACCTCTTGAGCAGCCATGAAGCTGCACGGGCTGTCTGGTGCCACAATGAGTGCGCTGACCACAATCGTGCCATACCTAGGCTCCAATGACGCCGTCTATGACGACGGCCCCGCCAAGCCTGGATTCCGCTCAGAAAAAATGCACTCTGAATCCATTAGTGTCACAAACAAGGTCATTTACAGCACCAATGCGGCCATTTTCCCCACTAACATGTCAGACATTCTGTTGAGTAATGACACTGATGGGATGGCGGCGCAGTGCGGGGAGAACTTTGTGGACAACTTGGAGTGTTTTATGATCCTGACTCCTGGGCAGCAACTGGCCATCGCCATCTTGGCCCTCACTTTGGGTTCGTTTACAGTGCTGGAGAACCTGATGGTGCTGTGCGTCATTCTGCATTCGCAGATGCTACGATCCCGACCGTCCTACCACTTCATAGGAAGCTTGGCTGTGGCGGACCTCATCGGCAGCATCATTTTCGTCTATAGTTTCTTGGACTTCCACGTCCTGCACAGGAAGGACAGCCCTGAGGTTTTCCTCTTCAAGCTGGCCGGTGTCATCGCCTCCTTCACCGCCTCCGTGGGCAGCCTCTTCCTCACCGCCATTGACCGCTACATCTCCATTCACAGGCCCATGGCGTACAAGCGCATTGTGACCAAGACTAAAGCAGTGGCGGCCTTCAGTCTCATGTGGGGCGTGTCCATAGTGTTTGCGCTGCTGCCCCTGCTGGGTTGGAACTGCAAGCGCCTCAACTCGGTCTGTTCAGACATTTTCCCCCTCATCGATCAGAAGTATCTGATGTTCTGGATTGGGATGACCAGCGTCCTGCTGCTCTTCATCATTTACGCTTATATGTTCATCTTGTGGAAGTCGCACCACCATGCTGTGCGCATGCTAAGCCGCACCTCCCAGAGGAGCATCGTTGTCTACACAGCGGAGGGCACCAAGGTTCAGACGGCGAGGCCCGAGCAGGCCCGCATGGACCTCCGCCTGGCCAAGACCCTCGTGCTCATCTTGGTGGCCCTCATCCTCTGCTGGGGGCCACTCTTAGCCATCATGGTTTACGACCTCTTGGGAAAAGTGGACGACTTCATCAAGACCGTATTTGCCTTCTGCAGCATGCTGTGCCTGTTCAACTCCACCGTCAACCCCGTCATCTACGCCATGAGGAGCAAGGACCTGCGCAGGGCTTTCGGCAACATCTGCCGCCTGTGCCGGGGAAGCGAGCAACCTCTGGATAACAGCGGGGAGAGCGATTGGAACAGCAGGAGCGTCAGGACCAAAGATAGCGGAGGCAGTGGGGCGAACAGCCGAGTGAAAGTGGCCCAAGTTTCTATTTCTGGAGTGACAGATACAACTTCAGGTGCAGATTCAGTGTGAACGCCTTCTGATTGTGAAGTCGGAAGGCGTTCACACTGAAGTGTGCCATGAATATTGTGTAGGATGGACTGCACCTCCTTGTGCACTTGATTTTGACTGGAGTGTGCCAAAGAGTGACTTGTGATTCCAACATATTCACTGTAAGTTTGCTTGGATGATGAACTCTGGAGCTGTTGTTTTAGGCACACCTGCACAATCTAAACAACCAGTGGGCAAAGTACTTACTGGCGTCGTCCACCCTTTAATCTGGCCCAGCAAGCATTAGCAAGAGTTTTGTAAAATTTGTTGCATTAATTTCGCCACTTTTCCTGTAAAATTTATTGCATTAATTCTATCCCTTTAGGTTGTTCTGGTGTTCCTTATGAATAATGAAATGTGCTTTGTTGTATAGCTTTCATTCTTAACCATTTTAGGAGTGACCACGTTTATTGCTATTGCATATCACAGGTGTGGGAAACTATTTTGCAACCAGAGAGCCATTAAGTTTTTATAAAGTCCTCCTTGGCCATACTAAACTGAAGAACAAATGTTTTTTTTTTTTTTATCAATCCACGCATTTTACACTTACCCTGTTCAGGGTCGTGGAGAGATAGAAACTATCCCAGCTAGCATCAGGCAAAAGCAAAATGCTTATTTATTTATTTATCTATCTATTTATTTATTATGAGCATTAGTGGGTTAAACGTTTTTGTTTTTAGAATTGTATGGCATGCAGGATCAATGCTGTCCCCACCACATCATAACATAGCAATGGCAATAGTGTGGCCATAGTACAACCCCTCCAAAATATCCAATGAAAAACCGCATTTCTAAACTACTTGATAGAAGGTAGCAGCTGTGACATGAAAGCAGCCGTGGGTGGTTATGTAAGATGTTGTGATGTTTGGCTTTTCACCACGCTGTTGTTTTCTGTAGAATTCCGGTGTGTGTTCTAAGAAGCAAAAACTGAAACATGTTTGGCTTTTTTGATAGCAGAAAATAGTTGCAGCTCTTTCAGGGATGTTCAGTGTGCTTGTAAAACTTTGTGTGACAAATTGGCACTGCCATATTGATGTCAAGTATCCACAGTGCTATTCTGTCTTCTGTATAAGCTTATTTTTCTTATCATGAAATTGTCAAGAAAACGGATGATCTTTTTACAATAAAACCATGAAATGCCACCAAACATGTAGTGCTAATTTACAAATAATTCATGCAATTCTGTTTTTCAAAGAGACAGAAATAACCCATACCTCCAATTTTCTTGAACGCTTGCCCACACTCGGGTCACAGAATGAAAAACTACGACAAACAAACATTTGCAGTCGTGCCAAAAGACAGTTTAGAGTCTTCAGTCTGTTAACCCAAGAAACATTGTGTGGACAATGTGGGAGCAAAACAGAACCCCTAAGAAAACCTACACAAGCACAGGAACAAGATGCAAATTCCACAAGGGAAGAGCCAGCACTCGAGCTTCAAACTTTAGAACTAAAAGGCAGACGTTCTTCCTCACATCTACAACACTGGGGAGCCAGAAATAATCCATATTATATAGATAACAAGTACTGTATTAGGGAAATACTGAAAGCCAGAACATTGATAGTTTAATGTGATTTTATCCTTCAATCCACTTTCTATAGCGTTTGGAGCCAATCCCAGATGGCCAGGCGGGAGTACACCATAGACTGATGCCAGTCAATTGCAAGGCACATATAAACAATCATTCACAGTGAAATTGACATCTGTCAACAATTTGGGCAAATTTATTTCCATTATTATTATTATTGGTGTGAGTGTGAATGGTTGTTTGTCTTTGTGTGCCCTGTGATTGGCTGGCAACCAGTTCAGGGTGTAAAATGATTTCTTAAATTTGTATGGGAAAAATTATCAACAATGGTAATGCTTCGAAAAACAACTTTGTTCAATAATTTAAAAAAAAATCAACAATGAAGTTAATGGCCATCCTTTCCAGTTATTGATCAGCTTGTATGAAAATGACCTTTATACCGAGCTGCGAAGAAGTAGTTGCCTCTTCCCAAATTCTTACTTTTTTGCATTGTTGTAATAGTAGTACAGTACTGTACGAACAGCATATTGTTTTCACATTTAAAAATGGTGAAATACTGACCTCTTGTGGAAACAAATAAGCACGCCTCGTTTTCATTTTTATTTCATCGCGTTCTGGTCAGGCAGGTGACTTTAAAGCCACTTAGCCTATGGTATCGTGAAAAACACCGAAAAAGACACGAATTGTTTCACGTCAGCTCTTTTACGGACGTTACTATAGACAGCGTATGTCGTCCACCTTTGAGTGGCCTTTACTACAAGCCCCGGCATGCATTGCAGTGATGTCACACGTGACATCACCAGCCTGCGAGAAGCCGATAGCCTCCGTATCGAAAACAAGCAGACGAGCCGAGTTGCTTCTGCTAAAGCTAGCTCCGCTATCTTTAACGGCAGTCAGCCCGCTGCTGGGCTGCGAGCTTCCACAACTTTTTTCAAGAAGTAACTTTTGAAAGACAATTCAACTCGAATACAAGGCACCCTCACTTTAAAGGTAAGACATGTCATTTCATGTACAACGCGGCAGCCAACGCCACTACTTGCTTTGTTTTCTGCTATTAGTAGCTAGCTCCAAGCGCTAACGTTAGCTGGTTTAGCACTAATTTAAAGGCTCTGCTGCGCAACATGATAATCATGTGCCTGACAGGCGGCGCAGTGTTTGAAGTAGAGAATTTCACCATGACAATAGCTGCCTGTGATGACGAATCCATAACCTTACGACTGTAAACGTCTGACAATATATTATCTTCATTTGGGGGTTGGTTTGACACCTCTTCCTCCTTTTTGGATCAGTTTAAAGCAATGGCGTGCGGAGCTACCCTGAAGAGGACCATGGATTTCGATCCGCTCATGAGTCCAGCTTCGCCCAAAAGACGAAGGTGTATGCCCGTGTCTCCGTCGTCCTCGTCCCCGAGGAAATATTTGAGCATGGAGCCCTCGCCATTCGGGGAGTCGTCATCCAGACTGAGCGCAGGTAATCTTCCTACGAGCGAGTAAAGTTGAAGCCCACAGGCCTTAGCAACCTGTTGTTCAGCCTCGTTAAGACTATCTTTTGTCAACCATCTTTTTGTTCCTCTCCCAGAACAAATCCTCCACAGCATCAAGCAAGAGTACAAACGCATACAAAAGAGGAAGCATCTGGAAACTGGAGTCTACCAGCCGCCCGAGTGCTGCTGTTCTCCAGAATCTCCTCCATCCCAGTTGACCATGTCAGGTTGGTCAACACACACTGAATTACTTTTAACGCATATAATACATTACAATGCACAGCCATTTTGAAGTACTTGTCTTAATATGCTTTGTGTATATATATAAAATTATACCATACTCTGCTATAAATAACCAAAATGTCTTTCCTTTGTTTTGGTCTAAAGAAGCACGATAACATTTGGAAAATGTTGAAATTTAAGAAACATATCTTTTACAAAACATTTCATGACGCTCCTTAGATTTCCTTAGACAAATGTGCAATTTACTTTTATCATTCACATATATGTATTGCAACTGATCCCACGGATTGTACAAAGGCAGAAAACGTTAACAATTGGTATTGAAAAATATAGTAATGCACTTTTAAGATTAAACGAGATTTATAAAGAAAGGAATTTTTAAACCATTTACACGTGCATATAAAATCTAAATGTAATCCCTGCCTACACCTTACAAACTAAAGCGAATGCTATTAAATGTGTAAAGAATAAAGTATTCACATGTCCTTGATAGCGTCTAAGCAATAAAAAGTGAAAATGAGTGTCACACCTAAACTGCTGTGTTGGGTCTGTCTCATTGACAGACTGAGGCTGCTGTTGTCTTCTTCTCTCATCAAAACAATGTTGTCTTTTACTCTGATCAAAACAGTGTGTCCCCCTAGCGGATACTCCATCATTTGCACCGGATTAAAAATATTCATTCCGTGTCTTTTATGCATTTTTTCACTTTTAAATTATCCTGTGGGCCTGATCAAACCTCCTTGTGGGCCGGTTACGGCCCGCGGGCCGTATGTTTGACACCCCTGATATAAACAATATTTTCAGCCACATTTTCACAACAATTTCAATTAAAAATGGATACAAAGAAATTGTATTTACTCAACCTGCATAATTTGCTTCCACTAACTGGAAGTGTTGTCATCGATGCTGCCTGTAATCATAATCAAGAGTATGAAATGGTTCCGTGTTAATATGGACAGAAAAATCTCATGACACAATGGCTGAACAGTGATATAAGGTGGGCCGACAAATGTTCCGATCATTGAGTTGTAGATGTTCACAGAACAGACTGAAAAGGCTGGTCAGTGACAGAGGGTACAATCGTGGATGTGTCGATTGGCCAAAGAATGAACAGTGTCCAAAAGAGGACAAGTACTAATAGTCATTGACATGTGGCCATCCAGTGACAACATGAATTGTGATGGAAGGTGGTCCAACAATGGTGCAGTCATTGTTGTATAGACCATGCGATGAATGCATGAAAAGTGATTTTTGTTTGTTGGGTTTCGCCCCCACCCCCAAAGTTGACCAGTCAACCAAAGTTGACCTATACACTACCCAATGAATTGAAATTGAATTTCTTTCAATAATAGATGATTTGAGAGTGATGGAACAGTTAGATCTCGCATTACGGCAGGACTCAAACCGAAATGAGCCACGGTTGCATGGAAGAAATGCATGACTACCATTTGCAGCAAACAGTGTCTGGTCAGGTGTAATATTACCAAAAATAGTTTATATGACTTAATTACAGCTTAAAATGAATATGTGCTGCAGTTGCTTCTTTTTAAACCGTGGAGATTGGCTCACTGAGAAGATGCTTGTTTGGCTTTTGCAGCGACGCCCTCTGGAGGCATTTCCCCATCGAGGAAGGAGCAGCCACTATTCACCCTCAAACAAGTTGGGATGATCTGTGAACGCCTGCTGAAAGAAAGGGAAGACAAGGTGCGGGAGGAGTACGAGGAGACCATGACATCCAAACTGGCAGGTCGGTACACGTCACTGCTGTCTGTAACATTGAGGGGGGGCTTCTGTAATAATGATCAGAAACATTGATGCAAGTGGGTCAAGGCTGGCTGTGTGGGAGTTACTCTGTTCCACTTGTCGGGTTATAATAGTTCTGGAATTTTCATTATAATTTTTATTTCATTTTGAGATTTAAAAAAAAAAAGTTGTAAAAATTAAAAATATACCTATTTTTAAAACAACCATCCACAAATCAAATAGTAGTACTCTATATCAGTCCACAGACTGCACTGCATGATACCACTTCTAAACTTGGATTCATAAAGTGAGGATGCTTGATGACAACTTCTAAAAGTGGATTTGTGGCTTGGATTCCTGGTGAAGCATTAAACCTGATTGAGTGTACCATTTAAAAAAAATACTGCACCTATTTACATCATACATGGCAATGGCGAGTGATGAAAAAAGCGGAAGGGGCGTGGCCTGGACGGGGGCGTGGTTACTTACAAAAGTGGCACTAAACATGCTGAAGATGAAGTGTATTAAATTTACACAGTTTGAAAATTGAACAGAAAAAAATCCCAAGATCGCCACTATTCTTTCAAGTGAAAATTTGTGCAATTTTGCCTATGCATTCCTGGTGAGCACCAATATGTAACTCCAAATTTGCTGCTCAAAATCAAAACTAAAAAAGTAAACACATTCCCTGCCATATTTAAGATTTGTTCATGACTTGTATTCATAAAGTGTTGAGATTCCTGGTGAGAAATAAAACGGCGGATTTCCGCGGATCCGCGGAAAATTGCCATGTATGTTACATACATGTAAAATCACACTTTATATTAACACCAATAAATTAATTTAGATCAATTTAAATTAATTGCCAAAGATGAAAGCGAAGGACATTTTCACTATAAATCTAGCAGGGATGTTCCGATCACACTCTTTTAGTACCCGGCCGGGTCCATCCATCATCCATCCATTCTTTGGTTTATATATCTGCTGATATCAAGTCCCGATACCGTGGCCACACATTTTTTGGGCCATTACATCCAAATTAATGTTTTCACATCGTTCGTATTTCCTTGTTTACTCCAAATAAAATTTCTTTTGCAACTTTCAGAGAGCACAGTCGGCCTGTTTGCCGTGCTTTCTCTCACTCTAAATAAAATAAATTCCAGTAGTAATTTAAAGTGTCTTCAAAATATGTTCCATATCCAAATGTATATTGTTTGCCATTGCAGAACAATATGACACCTTTGTGAAGTTCACACACGACCAGCTAATGCGACGATTCGGTGAACAACCTGCAAGCTGTGAGTGCTCTTCATGCGTCGTTCCCATATTTCTGTCCCGCGGTTCCACATCTGCTTTCTGACTTTTGAGTTCATCTGCCTTTCTTCTCCAGATGTTTCCTGAACTCACATGACCACAGCCTCTCGTTGCATACAGATCGTGTGACACCAAAAGGAAGGAAAAACAAATACACACACACACACACACATACACAAAAACGCTCATCGTTACGAGATTCAGTTTAGATGAAACTTTTTCTTACTGTGCCATATTTCTGTGGTTGGGCAAATGGTTGTAAACAACCCGGTGCTTCCCGATGTAAGCGGACCCCCCCCCCATACCCCCACCCTCCCTCACCCATAGTCCCCTTCTTCCCACCTGTGTGGTTGGTCCCAGCTGTGTGCGTGCTGACAGTTCTCACACTTTTTGTGACAATTCCCAGCATTACCAACTTGTTCACTCTTCAGTTTGTTACATGTAAATATATTGGAGCAGCAGTGACTTTGTTGTCACAAGGAAGTTTGCAGTCGCTCCTCCATTTTTTTCTTTTTATAATGAAGTAGGCCAAATAGATTATTTTCTTCCCTTTCCCGACCAAGTGTTTTATTTATTTTCATTTGTTTTACTGGTATAACTTTGAATTCATTGTACGCAATCAAAAATACAATAAAGGAATTAATTTTAAAGCCTGCCTGCTATGGACCTTATTTCCCACCCTCCTACAAAAGACCCCATGAGGTACACTTGCACAATGAGCTCCAATACACTAGTTTTGGTGTAATATTTTGCATCTGGAGAAAAAAATACCCATTAGGGCAGGTGTGGACAATTTTGCAAAGGTGCCACATGAAAACCTGAAACACTTACTCAGGCCCAAGCCAACATGCCAACCTCAACATTGTACATTTTTTGATGAACAGCAAAGACAACTGTTGTAATTTTTCTTCTTCTATTGTTTTGGAAAAATAGTTGCCAATGGTGTTGGAAAAGATGCCCAGTATAAGAAAAGGCTGCTAATTTAGCAACACTGCAGAAAAGTTGTAGCTCTGGCTTGCTCTCTCATGTTCAACTAGCATGCATTGTACAGAAAATAAAAGCCTAACTTTCAAAATAAATAAGAAAACCCTCCCAAGCAGTACTTGAAATCCAATAGAGTATCATTTAACGTCAACTTATGCTTTCAATATTTTAAGAAATTAACACAAACTTAAAATTTGAGGCATGAAATAATTTTAATTAAAGGGACAGAACTACAAAAACTACAGTTTCTTCAAGGCATTTTTTTTGTTTGTTTTTGGACCAATGGGTCAGCATCCACCCCAAGTGAGTCGGGCCACGTGGTCCGTCTTCTGTTTCGTGGACTTGATAAAGCCTAAAAATTCCAGCTCTGAAACAGCCCTGATAAACCGAGCGCTGGAGAACTGTTAAGGCATTTTTCCAGTGTCTCGTGCCATGAAAGTCTTTTTTTTTTTTTTTTTTTTTTTATGTATGGGTTTTTTTTTTTTTTTTTTTTACATCTCAGAAAATTACGTTTACATGTCAGAAAAAGATACTGTTTGACGTCATCCACTTTTCCAAAGTTATCTGAATCTGGATCATTCCCCTCCGCTGCAGACACCACGGTTGAGTAGGCCTAAAGACAAACACCGCCATCCAAACAGCTGTCAAATATTTGGATCAATAATATATTGATCTACAAAACAAACAACCGCCAGGGAAAAACACCTTCATCGATGACATTGTCAGGGCAAAGTTCAAAGGTGATGTGTTTATGTGGCAAATAGACAAGTAAACTCACTTGCATCCAGTCATAGAGGTTGATGAGGCGGCCGCACTCCAGGTGCAGCTTGTGCACGATGCAGATGTCAGGCGCTGCATTGGAGACACTCCCGTCATCTGTTTGTAGGCTCTCATTCTGCAACAATTTGAAAGAAAACATTCCAATGCAGTTGCATCGCAACGCATCAAATTTGAAGTTCAAGTAAAATGTCTCGAAAATTATGCCCTGTATATCAAACAAACGCTGGCCTTTAAACCCTCGTGAAGCCACATGAGATGTCAGCAAATCTCATGAGACTTGAGCTGACTTTATTTTTATAGTGATTGATGGGAGACGAAAAATACAATAACATAAAAATTGTGGTGCAACATAGCAAAGGTACAGTAAAATATTAACCGGAAGTGGGCATCGTCAGTGTGGTGAGCTGCTGTCAGCATTCCAAGTCCATCTGAGTCTTCGGCAACAGCCAAACGGCATTGAGAACAAACTTACCGGGACTACATCACACGCAGGGGCCGCACAACTGCTGTACACCTTTTAGTCCGACAGACCTCAATGCCATGTGTCCCATATTGTTATTTCACCAATAACCACGATGTGAGTGTGTCTGTAGATTTTATTAAATATTTTTTTTCTTTATATGATGCATGCTAGCTGGTGTGGCGCCTGTGTGTGACATGGAAATTACATTCTTGACACCGATTGGCTGACAGAAACACAATGCCCACCTCTGATATTAACAATTTCACACCAAATTAACTAAAGACATTGCGCTAAAATGTATTGTCACCTCCTTTTTATCCATATAATTTTTTGTTTAATCAAAAAAAGATTCATTCTGTTCCCCCAGAAAACACAAACACACACACACACACACACACACACACACACACACACACACACACACACACACACAGTGTGCATCTATCTATCTATTGAGGGAGATGTTTTTTGTTTGTTTTTTTTCTGGTGTCATAGAGGATACATTTCAAACATAAATTAAATGAAATCCCCTTCAGTGTTGGTCTGATGATCAACCAGCACATCTACAAAGAGATCCTTCATTCAGAAAAGCACGAGAAGAGGTCAGAAATGTGGCAGGACAACTCATATCAGTGTCCTTGTTTTGAAGAGGTAAAAAACATGGCCGCGATGACAGCTGTGGAGGATCCCGGAGGAATCCTTCCAGGAGTGCATGAAGACATTGCAGAGGAGGCTAGGAAAGTGTTTTAGACTCCAAGAAGTTTACTTCGACGGAGAAAACTTGTAGATTGAAATTGAAATATATCTTTTGTGACACAAGTTGTGGAACCTTTCCGATATAGCTCATATATTATAAACAGGATATCATTTGGTTAATATCCGCTCTTGTTGCTTGCTATTTTTCCTATCATGCTGGTGGAACACATGCTGCTTTTTCATGTCAATCTTAAACATTGTCAGTGTATAATGAATAACAACACTTTAAAATCCTCAATAACTAAAACTTAAAAAAAAAAAAAAGCAGCACCTAATCTTCCACCACACACGTGTCCATGCTTGAAATATGATGGTGACATACCGGAAGATAATAGTAAGGGCTGCTGAGTGCCGCCTGAATGGAGGTGCGGGGTGTGGCGTTGAGGTGGCGTCTCACGGAAGACGAGGAGCTGTAGTAGCACACTTCATTCAGCGTCTGAGACTCTGGAGGAGGCAGGTGACTCCTACGATGCGAGGAAGCGTTGACAAATAGGAAGCTGATAATCAGAAGTTAAATATGTCTCACTTTACGAGGTTGTCGATAAACTCCAAGACATCACTTCGCAGGTTCTCATATGGACTCTGTTTCTTGGACCTTCTAGACTCGTTCATCTCCAGAAGAGCCTGTTGAGAGCAGGTAAAATATGGAAACACCTCGAACAACAAAGCTTTGTACATAACATTCCACAGTGGAGTGTTTTGCTACCTTCTGCAGCTGGAACAGGTCGGTCTTCTTCTGAAAGTTCTTCAAAGGAGAGGTGAGGCTCTCTTCGTCGAATCGTACCACCTCACTTGCCCCTGCTTGGAGAAGAAAGGAAAAGCTCCTTATTCCTGTGGTAGTAATTATCCCAAGTTAGGGAGATGACTTAGGCAAAGCCAGCACTGGGCAGATGCTTCTCCCATCTCACCGTCCAACTGTTTGAATTTGTTGAGCATGTCTTCCAGCTGGACAAAGGCGCTCTTCATCATTTTTGACTTGATGGGTTGCAGGATCTCTGTGCATTTTTGGAGCAAAGCGATCAACTCATCCTTGGCCAACATCCTGGAGGAGAAACCATGAGAGGTTCCCAATTCAAAATATGGCTCAGATTTCATAGGATAATTAAATAATTATAAATCATGCGGTTGGCCACACGAGGGCGCAATAGAAACGATTCATGGCCTTGACTTTGGCGCTGTCGAACGTTAGGGCGTCAAAGACAGACCTTTAAGTCAGTTGCGCCCACACTCAGCATGCGTGCTACTTGTAAAATGACCACGCCCATATGGTAGACCTACTTCATTTATTTATTAGTTGTTTTTTAATACTTGGAATTCTTTACAGTATATGTACAAATGATCTGGGTATACCATGCCAAACTACATAAACCCATATTGCACAATACAACTTGCATGGAGTCCAGCCGGACAGGAGCATCTGAAAGCGAGCTGTGCGGACCCCTCCCAGCGAAGATCATTCATGTTGGACTGGTACTTGGACTTAACGATGGAAACTGCTATCTTTGCCAGTTAGCGCCGTTGTATGCGCATTAGTGAGGCATGCAAAAGGTGTATGACTGACTGGCTGCCCTGGATGGCAATCAAGTGACGATTTTCACAACAGATGATAGGTGGAGGATTTTTTTTAAACTCATTTACCAACATAGACAGGAAGCTACAGTATATTATATCAAAAGCACACAACTGGGAGGGCTGGCAATGTTTGAGTTAATCCTATGAGAGCTACTGACACTCCCATCCCGATCGACCGGTAGCTCACGATCTACGCAACGGCCACCCCAGCCTGAAGCCATCCATTTTCAATAGGTTTGTGGGTGAGGTGGACATAAAACTCCTGACAATTTAAGGCCAATGTGTACCAAAGTCAGAGTATCGTGACAAAAAGTCTCATTTTTATATAAATGAAGACTTATTTTAAAATAAATCAGGGTATGATGAGGGGAAAAAAAACAATGGCTGCCAACCAGTTCAAGGCGTCCCCCGCCTACTGCTCAAAGACAGCTGTGATAGGCTCCAGCATGCCCGGCGACCCTTGTGAGGATAAGCGGATCGGAAGATGGATGTATGGTACTACTTCTTTTCATAACATTTTGTCATCTTTTTTCCTTTGTTAATTTTACTTTTTTCCTAGACCAGTGACAACTGCTACCATGCAGAATAATTCATACAGAGATGAGATATATATGTGTGTGTGTTTACCTAATGTGGCCAGTGAGTGTAAATTCTCATTTGCAATACAGCCAGTGCTTACATTTCAGCCATTTAAATAGACCAAGAGAAGTAAGATTAATTATATAGGCTTACTTAAGCAGCTTCATGGCTGACTGGTAATCCTCCGTCTCCCAAACATTCTTCTCCAGGCAAATTAAATGGAGCTCCCGGATCTGCGGGTAATCCAGTGTTACATGGGAGCAAGAATGACAGTTTAGAAAAAAAAAAAGGATGCTTTGTTGAGATAAAGGGATTTCTTGCCTGTTTTCCAAGGGGGTAGCGAGGCAGTGACGAGGTCAAAGCGTGAAGACACCTCAGCATGGGATAATAGTTCTTGTGGTATTTACAAAGATCCTTTATTAGCTTGTGGCAAACCTCCTAAAACAGTTGAAAGTCTCGCTCAAATGTTCATGTCAGCAAAGTTAGGTGTCGCGGTGAAACTACTAGAACATCGTACCTTTAAGTAAGCATCATCCCCTGACAGCTGAACCTGCGTTTGGGATTCCTGCTTATTAACATACCTGAAGAACAGACGAAGATGTTGAGCATACATAGTCCATTGGCGCTATATTAACATACACATTACATGGACAAAAGTATGAGCCTCATCTAATCAGTTACAGATGCTCTGAAGTGGTACAATTAAGAATTTGTGAAGAACAGGGGAAAAAAAAATCTGCTGTCATATAGGAGACCTTAGCGCAATTTTTTTTCTCTTTTTTTTTTGCAATGCCTCAATAAGGACAAACTTCAAGTGTTTTGGAAGTTTTGATGTTTTACAGTGGATATGTTATTTTTGTGCTTTGGACTGTGGCAATTTAGGATGTTTAAAAACCTCTGCATTACACAGTCTTGTACAATAGTTAAGAATCTCAAAATGTGACCTAACTCTGTACATTTTTTTTAATGGTAAGCTTTGTACCCTATAATGGATTTTTTTCCATTACTTGAGAATACAAGCAAATCAGAAATCAGCCATCGTCCCGAAATATATATTGGTAGTGAATCCAGAGGTTCCCATATAAAAACAACAGACCAGCGGTAACTGTCGATCCCTTAGAAGTCCTTGAATAGACCTAAAGTTCTTTTAAAACAATTTCCCAGAAAGATCACTTTCCACATGTCCTAATACTTTTGTCCGCAGAGAATTTTAAACTTTGACCAGTGACCCGTGTACCTGGTGAATGAAGGCAGCTGCCTAATCCTCTCCAGGTCCCCGTGGCTGAGTTGCGCCAGATTACGCAGGGCTTCCTTCTTCTTGCAGCACAGCACGCTGAGAGGCTGCGAGTGGAAGTGCTCCAGCAGGGCCAGCTTCAGCACAAAGGAGATAACATTTGGCTCTTTTTTTGCAGAGAAAGCAGACTTTGACTATGATCCCACAAAAGCTCAACATTTGACAGAAATTCAACAAGGGGGGAAAAAAATTATTGAAAGCTACCTGGGCCTGCATGAAAAAGTACTTGCCTCTAAACCTATTCAGCAACAACTGAAATCAAGAATTTTTTAGCCAATTTTTTGGGGTCTTTCACATCTGTGTGGAGATATTTTGGCCCACTCCTGTTTGCAGAATTGTTCTAAGTCAGTGACAGTGGATGTTTTTAGAGCATGAATGGCCTTTTAAGGTGCTGCCTGTGCAGCATTTCAATCAAATTCATGTCCAGACTTTGACTCTGCAACTCGCAAACCGTTTTTTATTTATTTTTTTGGGGGGTTAAGCCATTTACTCATAAATTCGAATCGTCGTCCTGCTTCAAAATCATTCGCTTCAGCTTAAGGTCACCAACTAATGGCCAAACATTCTCTCTCCCTCAGCATTTTCTGGTAAAGAGCAGAATTCATGGTTCCATCAATCACAGCAAGTCATCCAGGTCCTGAAGGTGCGGAGCATCGTCACGTCATCACAGTCCCACTACCACGTTTGACAGTTGATATGATGTTCTATTTCTGCAATGAGGTGTTATGTTTTCACCAGATGTAAAGAGACACACATTTTCCTAGAAATTTAACCTTCATTTTATCTGTCCATAAAATATTCTATGAAGAGTTTCAGGAATCATTCAGATATTCTCAGCAGTTTTGGCATTGGTACTCTGCCATGGATGTCACTGGTCTTTGCGCGGCATGAGCACTGTCCTAAAGTCAGGCAAAGGAAGCCCGAAATTCCTAAAATGTTGTTTTAGGTTCCTTTGATACCTTCTGGATAAGTCGTCGCTGTGCTCGTGGCATCATTTTTGCAGGTTGGATGTTCACCATTTTTCCACGTTTCTCCATTTGGCTCTCACTGTGGTTCACTAGAGTCCTTTGAGAAAGGCTTTGCAACCCTTTCCAGATTGATGTCAATGACTATTTCTCATCTGTTCTTGTTTTTTTTCTTTTTGGTTTATAGCATTTTGTTGCAGCTTTTTTAGATCTTTCGGCCGACTTCATTTTCTTACACAGGTTCTATTAACCCCTTCATGCATCCTGTAACCTGATAGCATGATAAGCTGCCCACTGTGGTAACCGCTGTCCCTGAAAGGGTTAAAGCAATTTCTTGCCTAAATGATTTGAATGTCATCAAGCATGGGTGTGGACAGTGAAAACGGACTCAAATTTCCATAAATTCACACAAATTATTACTTCATCATTTAACAAAGAGGGTAAGAACTTTTTCCACGCAGGGCCAGGTAGCTTTGAAAATGTTGAATATTTTGAGAAGACAGAAAATACTTTTTCATGGCTGTGCATATACAGGACAGAAAGATGACAGCTTTTATCGGCAGCGTGAAAGGGGATACACACAATACAATCCAGGTCCATACACTGAACAAGGCTTTCAGAGGCTATTGTGTAGGTACCTGCACACCCTTGATGAAATTTCGCACTGAGAAGTCATGGTAGAGGAAAAGGCTGATCAGCACCTGCATGACTTTGCCAGACAGCTTGAAAGGGAACTTCGGGGTGAGGATCAACTAGAGCATGTAACAGAACAAAACCAATACATAATTTCGTCAAAATTAGGATCAAATGTACATTTTGATGTCATCTTTATGTACTGTAATGTTAATGAACGTGCACCTTGTCAATGACAGTGGCCAAGTGATGAGTGCATGACAGAGACTGGAAGAGCTCGATACATAGCAGCGACGATACTGAGTGGGGCAACATGTGCTGGATGGTGCTCGGCGACGTGGCGATGCCGAAGATGAACATGAGGGGAAGCCGCTCAACGTATCGACTATTACACAGACAGAGTTGTCAGCTTCACACACCTTGGTTCCATGTCCAGAGTTTTACCAACAGGTAGTTCATACAATTACTATACACGATACTTATATATATTATACAATAAATTCAACTTTAAATTAAACGCTGTGGCAACCCCTGGTTGAGGGAGACTAATCCGAAGGTCAAACAATAATCCAAGCAATATGTATACCGTAAATCACATGTAGGTGACAGTACCACTCTACAAACCTTCCAGTTTTCTTTCCTCACTTGCATATGAGGTGTCTTCAAAGGCTAAGTAGGTTAACATTATTTTTGTTTTGTCATGACATAGAGTGGGCGCATTTTTTTTTAGCATACGGATGCCAAACTTGCGGATGGCGTATGCTATATTCCACCAAAAGATATTGTCAGGAGCCAAAATAAATTAGGAGAAGAAATGGAAGAAGAAGTTGTCGTCCTGACAACTAATGTGTGAAGTAGCAGCACGATTAGGTAACGGGGATTTATGTCCCAGTCCAAGCGATACTTTTTATACGTCACACCTACAGTATAATAATATAGTCACACCAAACTATGGAAAGGGGGGCGGGGGGGGTAACTACAGGTTTTAAAGTCAAGGGCCGAACCAACATTTTCAAATTCTACACCAATAAAACACCAGACATATGCATTTTCAGTAATTCACACCACCATGGGAATACTGCAAGAGCTCAATGTTACCTGCAGATGAGAATGAAGTCCTGAAGAACTTTTTGGTTGAAGGCCTCTAAATCTTTAAAAATAATCACAACGGGGGGATACTGGTCTTTACTTGGAGAACTGCGCTTTTTTCCAGGAGTGCTAGATTTCTGCAGCAGTAAATTTAAAAAATGGATTAGGTGATTTTTTTCTTTAGAGACAGCAAAAGTTAAAAAAAAAAAAAAAAAAAAAAAGTCATAACCACCCGGCCCCACTTTTTTTTTGTGAT